TAGTTGAATTCATTCGATTACAGTCGTTGTGTGTTTCATGACTTTGTCATTATGCTAACTAATATTCTAAAGTGCTTCTCCACACACTTTCAGCGCTATTGTACCAGCCTGAGTGATTTAAACGGATTAGCTTTTTAAATGCATTTATGTTCTATTTCGACATAAGTTGTTGTTTAGTTCATCTATCGATTACTGTTTAATATTATGCTCTGAAAAGTTAAGTGTATTAAATATTCTGAGTGTTGATGGTAACACGACTGTTTTTATTTTTTAGATTAAACCTAAATTCTTATCCTGCGTACTTTTAACCCAAAGCAATATCCACTCCTGTTTTATATCCTTATTCCTTCTGCTTTTCTTGCCCCTAAGTCGAACAAATTTATGAGATGTAGTCTGGTAGTCTCGAAACCCTACTCAAATAGAACAAATTTATTCCTTCTGGACCTTTGATTTTCATTTTACCTTTCAATAATTCTTAGGGCCAGATCACCTTTGTATACTGCGTACTCCTTTGGAGATTAATTTCATTATTACTTCCCTTACCACTGCAGATCTTATATTTCTGATACATAATCCCTCCGCCTTAATATAGTCTTGTAGCATGGCCGTTTAATGTTATGTAGTATTCAGCATATACTTGACCACGATTTTCTATTTTCTCACTGAATGAGCATTTGTGATGACCTTTGTTTGCCGCCTTGACATAAGTCTTGTCTACTCACACTCAGAGAAAAGTTTCTCCAACAATCTGACTGCATACATAGACTTGTTCGGGTACTATTCTTAATATATCAATCAAAATAAGTAGGTTTACTTTGAATTTACACTGCATCCTTTTTCTGCAATTCATTTTTAAAGAAAAGTATAAAGTTTTACTGGAGGAATCAGGCGTCTAATAAAATCTTGAATGGAAAGTAAACAATACTTTTAAGGTTTATTCACTCTCTTTCCTTTAAAGTGATAAGCGAAATGGTAGTTGAATTTTTCCACAATGATATTAATTGATCTTACATTTCCATTACCTTGCCTCCCCTAAAGGTATTCTTATTTAGGATGGAATTCAGTTTTGACCCTGATCTTATCAACACCTTCAGCGGGCCTCGAGCAATAACAGCGCGACGTATAATCTCGACATGTTAACCATTACCCCCCATTGCTATGAGTTCACCTGGGTAACAGGGCAGATGTGTTTACCGTGTCGAGCTTATACACTGCACTGCCATTTTTCAAGTTCTACTGGGGATGCTGATGAGACATAGGTGAGACCTAATCTGTATTCTACCCTAAATGAGAATACTTTCTGTGAAAGCAAGGGTATGTAAAATTTAATGGGAACCTAGGGTCTACTCATATCATTATAGGAAAATTAAACTACCACATCTTCATCACCTTTAACGAAATGGGGTGAACTCATCTCTTAAATGACTATGT